GCCATCTTGAACTTTGTTAGAAGGTTCGTATGTGGAGGAGGACATAGGAGAATGACCCAGTCTGGGGCCAGAGTGAATGGCTAAAGGAAAATACGTTTTTCCTGGGGAAACCAGGCAATGAGGAATACCCCACAACAAAGGGCCTTGTCTGAGCTGGCTCCTATCTCCGGGGCCTGCCCCAGTTGTTGGGCACACAGGAGACTGTGGTGACCTTGAGCGTGGCTGGTCCCAAACACTGCGCCGCGTGTCTGTGTGCAGCTGTGGAAGGCTCAGGAAGCTCACTGAGAGAGTGGGCCTGTTCCAGGCTTCAGGCAGGGAGCCAGGGGCCGCCCCTTCACCAGGGAACATTGAGGAGCTTCTGTGTACGCTCTGTATGTGTCTCAGCTTTCTTTGGAATTGTGGCAGAGTCTGGCCCTGCCTGGTCTTTTTTGTGCCTTGGATCCTAAGTTAATAACCGAAGGAACAGTGCCCCTGTTGACATACTTGATATGGAAGTTGCTGTCCAATGGCCATTTCATCCTCGTTGCCATTGACACCACACCACGTACAGTTCTGAGGTTCTCACTTTAGTTGTGATTGAATAGAGCTATGATCGTTGGAGCAGAAAGCAGCCATTCAGATGTGAATAGACGTGTCTAGTAACGTGCAGATGTTTTTTGGCAGGTTGATGAATATTTTAAATCTTTTTCAAGAAGTAAAAAGGGTTGAATTGGAAATAGAGAAGATTCTGTGGCAAGAGAAAAGTGTATTTCATTTCTCTCTCAATCTTCCTTTTCTTAAAATAATTAAACAAAAACCAGAACCAGAATTCAAATCTTGGATTTGTGATATCCCATACATCTCCTTCTTCGCTTGGGAGTTGTGACTATGACTCTCATGTATTGAACCTCAGTTTCTCAGTCACATTTTTTTAAGTAGAAAGGAAACACTGACTAATATTAAAAATAACAGTGGAATCTCCAGAGTGGATCTTTGTCACTTATTTATAGCTAAAGACACAGGACTAAATGGAAGGAAAGGTCATCTTCTGGTTCTCTATAAGCTATGTGTGGTATGTGGACACACCCTGGATTCATCTCCCCGCCCCCCCCCCCATCCCCTGTACTTGCAGCTTGAGTCAGGGCAGCTTTGTTTCCTTCATCCCCGTCAGGGCAGTTCTTCATTAGTCACTCTGTCACCGCCCCTCGTCACCCTTCACCCCTCCATCAGCAGAGCTGCTACAACCCCTGTTGTGCTCAGCATGGTCCTGGCCACAGACAAGCTGGCGTCTGAGCAGGGGAGACCATGAAGCAGGTACTGAGTATAAAGTGCTCTGAGAACACTGAGGAGAAGAAATCTAGTTCTGCACAGAAGCGGGACCAAAGGAAAACAGGAGAGAAAAGGTGATTTTGTCCTGGGCCCCGACAGCGACAGCTAATTAGGGGAACCCTGTCCTGAACCCAGCAGGGTTGGTGAGATTGGAGTGATGATGCTTTGTCCAGTGCCAGGAATATGCCGGAAGCTGTATCTATTTTTCAGCCCCTTCCTGGGATAGAGGCAAGTAGAAAAGACACTGGTAACCCCAGGAGTATGCCTTCAACTGGCTGACTAGTTAGCTGGCCTCTGCCTCAGTTTCCCACCTTTCCCCCACCAGCCTACCACCATCCTCTTAACTCCCTCTCTGCCCTGTAGTCCCACAAGCCTCTTGCCATTCTCTGAACATGTGGCTGATGCCCCGTTGACTGTGTCTGTTTATTCCTCTGCCCTGGGCTAAGGTTCCTGTGGTGGGTGCTGCAGGAGACGTGCCCCAGATGGTTGGAAATAGGAGAGTGGTGGGGCTATGGGGTTGGCTGCATCAAGAGAAAACCCACAGTTGAAGGCTTCTCAGTTTTATTTTTAGAGTTTTCTCTAAGAACAAAGATCTCTGTGTATTCTCCTAAAGATAGAGGATTTGATCCGATCTAAATAGTTGGGAGTAGCTCGTTCTGGCCAAGGCCTTGTTCTCTGGCTTCCATTCCTGCAGGCAGTCACACATTTGCAACATTCATGGATCAGCCTTTTCCACTGGGGAATCTGGGTCACTTCAGTCATGTTTCTCAAACAAAACATTAGCACTACTTCAGCAGGAAGAATAAAAGCATGGAAAATGCCCTAATGCCCACAAGCGCACAGTTGAATACAGAGTCAACTGTTGAAAGGGTCTGTGTAACCACATATACACATCTGTGTCTGTACAAAAACACACACACAGGGAAGAAGAGGTCTATCTTGCCTTAAGCCTTGCAAACTTGAAACTTGGATATTCCAAAAATTTAGATTTAGAATAAAAATAAAATGGGATAATTGGTCAATTTTTAAAGAATGATTTTTTAAAGTTAAGACAAATAAAAGATACCTTTTTTTTTTTTTAAAGATTTATTTGAGAGAAAGGGAGTATGTGGGTGCACCTGAACATGAGGGGAGGTCCGTGGGGAAGGGGGAGGGGAAGAGGGCTGAAAGAAGTCTCATGACCCTGAGGTCACGAACCAAGCCAAAGCCAAGAGTTCGATGTTCAACCAACTGTGCCACTCAGGCGTCCCAAATAAAAGGTACTTCTATTCCAATTAAACATTTCATGACAAAATTTATTCTCAACTCTTAGAAACACACCCTTAAGTTAAGACAGAGATGCCTGGTTTTAAAAACAGATGCCACTCTCCATACTAGATAGGGTTGTCCTGTGAATTTTACTTTGTGGCAATTTTATTTCACCAAACCAGATCTTCTTTGAAACAATGGAGCTGATGCCTAAAAAATATCTCGGGCCGTGCTTGGTAGGAGTCTTTGAAGTGAAAGCTGTGGCATCCTTCTACTTTGTGCTGCGGGATGATACATATATGTATTGTCTTTGTTAATTAACTCCATCTGTTTTGAAAGCCTGAAAGAGAGATTGGATGAAGCTGCATATATGCACGGAAGGATAATATTCCTTTTGCACTAGTCAGCCAGCCGCTCCAGACAGGTTTTCAGTTTTCCTTTTGCTACGAGTTGCCAAAGTGCTATGGAGCTGAAGCTCATTCTTCAAGACCCTGTTGTTGAACTGGGCATCCCGTGCACTTGAACCTGTGCTGTCTACATGAGAGAGGCTGAGTTTGCTTTCTGCTTTGGGAAAGGGTAGTTATTTTCCAAGTGTGCTTTCTGTGGCAGGTGAAGGAATCTTCTGCCTTGCAAGTAGAAAATTCCATTCTGTAAATCTGAATGACCGCCTTCCTAAGCCTCTTTGAAAAACGTTCGAGTGAAGTCAGACTTCCACTTTATATATGTTCCCTTTGGTGAAAAGTTGGGTTTTTGTTTATTTATTTTTGTTTTTTTAAGATTTATTTATTTGTTTTAGAGGCGGGGAGAAGCAGAGGGAGAGGGAGAGAGAGGAACCTAAGCAGACTCTGAGCTGAGCATGGAGCCCAGTGCGGGGTTCGAACTCAGGACCCTGAGTTCACAACCTGAGCCAAAACCAAGAGTCGGTCGCTTAACTGACTGTAACACACGGTCACCCCTGATGAAAAGTTTTCATGGTACTGAATTATTCTTTGCTGGTTACAGGGAGGCTAGTTAAAAATTTTGGACGATGGGGATTCCCATTTTTTTCCAGCTCGGCAGGGTCTGCATCCCCAGTGGGTTCTCCAGAAGCAAAGGCATATATTGCCTGGTAGCATCTCAGTTAGGACAGGACAGTGTGTCCGAAGCAAGAAAGAGCTGGGGTGAGGTGGGTGGCTAAGGTACCAGCCGTATTAGGCTGCTCACTAGCACATTATCTCCCTCCAGCCTCATGCTGCTTCTCCTGCATGTCTGCAGTCAGTTCATGATTTGAATACCCATCTGCAGAAGACAATATATGAGTTTCTAATTCTCTTCCCCACGGTCATTTTTTTCTTTCCTTCATTCTGAGTCATCTTTGATTAAAGAAAACAAAGATGTTACTGTTAATTATGCACCCTTTCAAACAGTGCAAAAATTCTTTTGTGTGTGCGTAGGGATGGTTTGGATGGGGATAGAGATTTGTGATGGCAGTATTTTAAACCACGGACCAGGACACGAAGAATCATGATGAAAAAAAGTGTGAGTCTCTACTACGATAGGAAAAATCGTTTCTGCTTTTTTATTCACATTCCTCAAATCTTTTACTTTCTTCCCTAACACTATCAACATAATTCTAGTCAGCCGTTTTTATTCTCTTTAAACATCTTATTAAAACTGAAGCTTTGTTCAAATAGCTAAAATTGCATATAACAAATGAGTTACCATAATATTGGCAGGTTGTAGGCAGAGCGCATGAGCAAACTGGCAAGCTGCTGTCTGCTCCTGGCACTTTAAAGAGTAACGTGAAATGGGCACAGGTGCCACAGAATCCGCACTCAGCTCTGTCAGGGGCTTGGCACAAGGTTCTAAGGTAATCCTGGGACTCTAGTTCTATGGGCGAGTTGGTGCAGGCTGGTGGGTTGGCACACCTCCCGGAGAGGGGAACACCAGCTGATGGGAAAGAGGGGCCATCCTGAGAAGTCTGTTTTAACAGTGAGCCCCACCCACAGTCAGACAGGAAGTGGGGCACATATGGGTTGGGGGCTAAGGGAAGATCTAAGTCAAAAGGTGAGTTGAACAAGACCTTGGAAGACTCATTTTATTTTTTTTAATGTGTCCCAACTGTGGATGACTTGTAGGCACTCAGAAGAGAGAGAGAGAGAGAGAGAGAGAGTGTGTGTGTGTGTGTGTGTGTGTATGTAAGACCTCCATCTTTATCTTTCCTGACTCCAGAAACTCAAAATCTCGTGTTGGCCTCCTTTGATGGTGGAGGGCCAGGTCTTTGCAGTTGCAAGCAGGTGTTTGTGGCAACTGTGACTTAGCAACAATTATGTGAACGAGAAAAAAGTTGTGAGCAAGCTGATTGTCTGCAGCACATGGAAATTCTATGGTGGTACTTTGTGGGAGGTTTCCAGGCAATGAGTGTTCAGTTCTCTTTTGATGTCTATTTTTTTTTTCTTCTACAGTTTTTTGAAGAAGCAGGATGCTGATCTAGACGTGGAAAAAGTAAGTTGACAAGTTTTGCACTGAGAGCACATGCCTTGTGAATTAGAAAGGGTGTCCCATTGGGACCCAGGACTTGGTCCACTTTGAACTTGGGATCGTGATTCTGAGTCTCTACGTTTCTAAGAGAGAGGTTGAGTTGGAGATGGAGTTGGTACATGAATAGAAACTCTTCCCTCACTTAGGTAGATCTGCCATTTCCCCCCTTCTCTTAGTTGTAACACTTGGTTTTGATAACTATGGGATAACTATGGGAAACATATGTTTTAGCTATACGACGTGTCTCCTTACCCCAGAAATAGAATGGGACAGCTGTCCTGTGGCTGATGAGCCTTCAGGGGCTGCTGAGGGGTGGGTAGCACTCTGTCTTCAGACTGGTTAAGGAAGGTCCCTTCAGTCCCTCTGTTTTCGTTTTTTCTCCACTCTGAGATGACTACTGCTTACCTCTGCCCTAGTTGTACCTCCAAATTGTAGTCACTGTGTCACAGGTCATTCTTTCATTCACTGAACACTTTTTGATGCTCACTGGGGTATTAGGCACCGTGCTGGAATCTGCTGAGACAAAAATGAATGTGACCGACCAGTAAACAGGCAATGATTATAGAATGTGATAGAAGTGTGCAGAAGGGGCTCTGGAAGCTCAGACTGAGGCTGGACTGTCCAGAAAATCTCCCTGATGGAGGGCATGTGTGAAGGAACCATGTATCCATTGCTTCTGCAAGCGTTTGCTGAGTCTTCTCTGCCTGTCCTTCTCTCGTCTCCCAGGTGCCCTGGGTTCCCATGAAAGGCTGGACTTAAGCATGTCTCACTCGCCACCCGTGGGATCCTATTCTGCCCTGGTCTCCACGGCCCAGTCACATTGCCTTGGAGGTAATTTTTCAGCAGTTCAGGGGCTGAGCACTCAGGGGCTCTACTTCATTGTCTAAGAATGACTTGGGGTTATTTCTTGTTTTGAACTTGGTGTGTAAGACAGGTTCTTCTCCCCAAACTAGAGCCATTCTTCATGCAGTTGCTGTACTTTTAAGTTAAGGAAGTATACTATCTGAAACCTCCTTCTAGAACAATTATGAGCAACCCCTGACCTTTGACCCATGTAGCCCCCTAGCTTCTGCAGAATGGACTGTGATCTACTTTCATTCGTGGCCTTTTCAGCTCACGCAAACCAAGGTGACTCAGGCTCTAGTCAGGGCTAGATTGGAGGGGAACCTTTTTAAAATCCTGGTGTGCTTAGGTTTGGCCTGTAAAAGCCAAAGGCTGGCAAAGATACTCCCTATGGGGGCGGGAGGCGTGGGGAGGGCCCGTACTGTGGCCCTCCTGGCCAGGCTGGCCCCACAGCAGGTTAGAAGAGCCTTTGGGTGCCTGGATCCACCTCGGGATGGTGTAGCGTGGAAGAGCCGGCATAGCCAGAACCCTGGCGGGACGGTTTAGGAAGTGCCTGGAGCTGTTCCAGGTTGCAGGGCTTGCCCTGCCTTGTGCGAGGTGAATCCTACAACCGTGAAAGGGGGAGGTCCAGTTTATGGAAGAGGCGGGTCTGTTCATTGTGTTTTCCGTATAACCCAATGCCAGGCAGACAAGACGGCTCAGTAAGTAGGGTGGGAAGCCCTGAGTGGAATGAATTAGAGTCTTGCTTCAGCTCTACTGTCCACTTGCTCTGAGACCTTAAGCAAACCTTTTCTCTTGTGCAAGCCTCATTTTTCTTATCAGTAATGTGGTCCCTCTTCCAGGATCAAGTAAAATTCTTCATTTTTTAACTTAAAAACACAAATGACACTTTTTCGTGTTTTCTTACTTGGTCCTTATACCAAAAAGGATAAAGCACTGTTAGCCATGAGTGAGAAGGATGCTTAATAAGGCCCACCAGAGGTTGGGAGCTCCTGGCAGGAGCAGCCCTGTCTATTGTCTGTACCCTCACGTACAGCACTGGCGGCAGGGAGTGTCTAATGAGGGAATTGTGACCGACCCTGTCCTGTGGGTTGGGTATTTGTTTAAGTACTGAGGGGAATTCAGAATAAGAGATGCTAAAAGTGTGGTGGGAAATGCTTCTTGGGCTGCATGAATTTGAGCTGCCTGCAAAGGACTCTTGCCTGCTGCACCCTCTTGGTCCCATAGTTAATGACCTGGAAAATACTTAACTGCCCTAGGGGAGTTCACTATTTTAAAAGTTCTAATTCAAAAGCTCCAATTCCAGATTTTTTTTCTAATGCTGATAGAAAGCTGTTGAGCACAGATGTATAAATTGTTCTTTTCGCCTGTATTTAAATATCTGCCAGGAAGAATCTAGAATAGAGTGTGCCTCCATTGTATAATTAAATGATACCTGCTGGCCAACCCAAGGGAAGAAAAATCACAGAAGTCATGGTGTGTTTTTTTCTAAATGGCTTTTTGAGTTTTCTCATTCAGTTGAACATTTTTGTAAAGATAGAACTATGAATGGAAAATTAGCCTTATCTCGACATGTGAAAGCTCAAAGATAAGTCAACTAAATGCTGTAATTATTATTATCTATAGTTTATTGAGCTTATACTACATATTGAGTGCTTTCTCTGTGTCACACTTGACCATTGCAACAATCTTGTGAGGGAACCATGTCCCTTACCATGAGTTGCTTGAGGCACCACAGTAACAGCAAGGATTCTAATTATATCTGGGTCTAGAGCCTTCTCTTTCTCATGCCATACCTTACCTTAAAATTGATACAATATTTGGGATAATATATTTGTGTGATTTCTTTCTAAAAAGTTTTATGAGTGATAAAAAAGCAATGTTACTTTCTAGAGAGGTCTTCGCTAAGACTCCCTCACAATCCACAGGGTTACCGTGCCACCCTGCCCTTCTTCAAAGCTACCATTGTTGTATAGTCATTTGTGCAGTGGCCATCTAGTATCTGTTCCCTCTTGAACTGTAAGCTTTGTCAGATCTGACTCCTTTCACGTGCTAAGCCTAGGACCTGACTTCTAGAATGCCCTCTTAAAATGTTGACTACAGGCGTGAGACAATGGCACATGACCAAAATAGCAGATAATGAGAGTCCGTGAAAGCCACCTTAGTAAGTGGCAAGGTAAAAAAATCTTACTGTGTACTCCAGCAATCATGTTTCTTTTTTCCATCTATAGGTTTTATCTGTGGAAACCATGCTAATTAATAGCATTATATGGCAATAAGACAATCACTCCTTGGCTTCCTCTTCAAAAGTACAAAGTTTCAAGCAGACAAATGAATAGATAATCCTTAAGAATTAAGTAATCGTGCAAGCAAAGAAAGTCTAAGGATAAAAGAGGGAGGAGCAGTAAGAGCAGAAGGGAAACATTAATACTGCTTTGTTTTGGTCTTTTCACAGAATCTTCTTGAATTATTAAGGGATACACTTCTGAGTATGGTTTACATAAATCACTGATTTAAAGATATACAGTGTATCTTCTAAAAGTAAAACCCATACTCAACTGAATTTTAGAATATGTAATCAGATTATGTCACAAGGACAAAAATATACTTTTTAAAAAATAAAACTAATTAAATTGGGTTCTCTTATTTGGTAATTTAAATCATGATTTAAATGGGTTTGGTGAAAACAACATCTACTTTGGTTGTAATGACTTTCAAAGAGCTAAAGAGAGAGGTTTGAGATCCATGTATCCTCCATGATTTTCATGCATGCTGCGTGGCCTTTGTCTAGCATGATTGAAAGCATTTGGCACTTGCCTTGAGAGAGACCTGTCATTTTTGTAGTTTCAGTGAGAACCAGAATCCCTGTATTGCTATTACGTTTGCAGGGTTTAGATGGCTGCCTTCAGGCCACAAATATGGCCATAGATCCTACTGTCTGTTTGATAGCTACGGAGTGCACCCCAAATAAAAATTGTCATTCAAAAGAAAAGTAAACAGAATGCTTTAGAATGTTTCCTTTTTCCCAGTGAATTCCTTAAAATGTGTTCATCCATAAATGTAGAATGTACGTAGAAGTTGCTCCATTTTCCAATTTCTTTTGTTTTAATAAGTCCCAAGAGAAGTGATAATGATATCCTGGTTTCTTAATGTGGAGCTGATAGTTTTTGTTTAAAAAAAAAAAAAAAAAAGGAAAGAAAGAAAAAAAAAGTCATTCTAAACAATTGGTTCAAAGTTTGAGACTGCATCCAGAACCAAGCTTTAAGGCATGTATATTGGATTCCTATGTAGCTGGTTGAGAGGTAGAACAATTAATTCATGTAAGATTTTTCTTTAGTAGGAGGAATAGGATTTTCCAGGAGTCAGAAGGTCAGCAGTGCTTTTGGGGGGGAGTGCAAAGGTATGAGGATGTGTCTTCAGTGAGAATGTGTCTGTGTGTGGGGCAGGGGACGGTGTCAGGGTGTAGCGTGTCCCTGTGTAGGCTGATTGCCGTAAGGTGTGAAGAGGAGGAGAGAAGAACACCCATAAGCAGAACTCGCTGCCCTCTGTAGAAGCCACTACTCCCTGAATGGAGTGGAGGTCTCACGAGGTAGGTGTGGGGAATGGAGAAGGCAGCCCTGGTGTGCAGATGGGACTGCGCCTTAGACTTTCTGTGATTCACATGCTTAGGGCTGTCAACCCCAGGGCTTATAGGATGCCCACTTGTCTCCCATTCTCCATGCCCTGCCTCAGCCTCCACATAGACTGATCCATTTTCTTGGAGATTGGGCATGGGGAAAGACCAGGCTTCCTACAGCCTGCTTTCCTGGTGACTTGGGAACAATTTGGGTGGGAGGGGGTTGTTTGGGAGGGAGGAACTTCCATGGAGTTCTGCTTTAGGTCGAAGAGCAAATGGTTCTAGTGCTGCATTGAAAACAGTTGTTAGACATCACGCATAATAACTGACCAATTTTCTTTTATATAAATCTCTGCATTATAAACCTAAGTGCTGTGGGAGAAGAAAAAATATGTCTTCTGCCAATCTGAATTTCTAAGATAATAAAAGATTCCCTCTTCCTAGACATAAACTCGGGCAGATGTTGGTGACCATTGGAAGAGCTACAGAGAACAAAATCTAAGTTGTGATCCAAGGAAAGAGTTGGAAAATTATGGGTGAATTGTCTAGTCTTTGATGCCAAACACATACTTCATTTGTTCCTCAAACATTAACAAACATCTGTGGGCTAACCACCATCCTAGGCCACATGTTATCTTACTCAGTAGTCCTGTTTTACATGTGAGGGAAATGAAACCCAACAGAACTGAAATGATTTGCCCCAGGACTTATATCTGGGAAGTCACAAGATCCAAAAGTAGCTCTCAAACTCGGAGTACCCTCTGTTTCCACTCTACCGTGGATGTTCTCTTGTCCTGGTCCTACCAGGGGGTCCCTTGGGGGTGACCACGTGAGGGTGACTTTCCACGAAGGCATTCTGTAGGAGTGGGAATCTGGGGAGGCCTGTTCCTGGGCTCGGGATCATCTCATTGTCCTCCTCTCAGTAACATTCATCATTCTACAAGGAGAGAGCTGGATGCTGCCAGGAGAGAGTGGGGAGAAACTCAGCCCACGTCACAATGGAGAATCAAGACAAGCTCCCACCTACTCTGCAGGCTTTCTCCTGTAGCCGTGAGTTGCTGCATAATTTCTTCCACTGCAGCCAGGCCTGCTGAGGGGAGGTTGGAATCCCTCGGTCGTCGGATTTATTGTCTGCTGAAATCACCTGTGAAGGAGAGATTATTAGTAAAATATGTGTAAAGAATGGCTAAGAAGATACTTTTGTCACTGCCCCAAAACACTTTCAAAAGCAGAGCTGCACTTGGTCTGAGCTGCTGTGTGTATGGGGAAGAGACCTAAAAATATGGGAAAATTCAAGCTTTTCCCCTAACTGTGGTTATTACTGCCCACTTCGGGGGGGGGCTACACAAAAGTTTAAGTAGAAAATCTCTGT